AGTGAATGCCAAAGCGAAGCTTGCCCCTTGCCATGTCACGTGCCTGGTCCATGATCCAGGTGGAGTGAACTACGAGCGAGCTTGTCTCCTACTCTGGGGTCAGCTCGAGCTCATCGCAGACCAGCTAGATGGTGACGCGTAGGTTGTCATGTTCATCGCCCTCCTTCTAGTGGGTGTCCTTCACCTCGCTGAGCTCCTTCTCTAGGCCGCAGCTCTTCACCACCTCTGCCCTGAGCTTGTCATTGAGACCTACCCAAGTCACATACCGACCGTGTCAAAAGTCTTACCACGGATTCCAGGGAGAAAGACAACAAGAGAAACTGGAGACTTACCATCCACGTCCACCCGAAGCTTGCGCACCTCATCACGCTGTGGGGTCACCTTGGCCTCTAGGCGCTGGACCTCTTCTTGGCACTGACCGACCTCCGTGGCGAGCCCAGTGGACACGCCCTCGGCTACAACCTTTAGGTTCCTCTCCCTTTGAAGCTCATTTTTGAGGTGGTCGATCCACTGTTGAGCGTCGGCGCGCTCCTGATGAGCCAGGTCAATCCCTATGCGGACCTCCTCTATGACCCAGAGCAAATCGTCCCGCTTCTTCCGTAGCCGCTTGGTCTCCACGGCGTCCGTGCGTACCCTATCGATCAGGGCCGCGAGCTTCTCCTCGGCCTCGCGGGCGTCGTCACGAGCGTCCTTCTCCCTGACTCGGAGGTCAGCCACCTCCCGGGTAGCAGGGGCAAGCTTAGCCACCTCCTGACGGGCGACAGTGAGCTATGGGGCTAGCCCCTCACTCCGTCGTGTCTCCTCAGCAAGGAACTAGGACTTCTGGCTACGGGCCATAAGGACCTATGAAGAAGGCAGGACTTAGAGGTGCAGAAAGAGAACATGAGGGTCGGAAGTACGGTCATATCATACCTGGCCAAACAGGGTGACAATGTCGCGCATCGAGCTCAGCATGGTGGTCAGGACGCGAATCGCGTCCCCAACCTCCGTGTGGACGCTCCCCCATTCCCTCTCCTCTGCTGCGCCATCGAGGGCAGCCACCTAGACCAGAGACCGGGACGTCCTCATGCCAATCTCAACTGGCGTCGACCTCTCTTGCAGTAGCAGCTCCTTCAGAGCGGCTCCTCTAGTGATAGAGGGAGCAAGTGACGCGGACATAGAGGCTAGCCCTATCGCCACATCCACGAAGGATGCCTTAGGTGCGCCCCCTTCCGTCCACCCTGCCATGAACACGGCCACCTACACGGATGATGGCTCCGGCCGTGCCACCTCCGCCTACGACGTCGAGGACATGATCGGCCACACCACGCCCGCCACGGGCGCCTTGGACGGTCCCTCCTCCGCCTGCTCTCCCATGGACGCGGCCATCGGCTAGACCTCCCCGGTCGACGTCGTGGCCGCCACAACGCCACTCACGCTCACCACCGGTGCGGCGCCAGCCGGCTCCTGGCACATTTGTCAAAGGAGGATCTTTTTTGGAGCAAGCCGTAGGAGTGTTCCATGTCCTCCAACGCTGCAAGGGACATGGCGATCAGTTTGTGGCAAAAATTCGTTAAGACAAAAAGATGAAAAAAACTTTTGACTCACCCTGATGCCATCATGCGAGGATGTTTTGGGGCCAGGTTGCCCGACCCCGGCTGCTCCTCATCGGCACGTTGCCGCTTCAAGCCCTCCCTTGGCTCAGAGGGCCTGGATGGATCAGAACGGTCGCCTCCCCCCTGACTCTAGAGGTGCCGCCGAGGGCTCGGACGGAGCGAGGCAACCTATTTCCGCCAACTTCGGGGCCACCATAGACGGCCTAGACGGAGTAGGGCGGTCTGATTCCGCTAACTCTAGGGCCACCGTCGAAGGCCTAGACAAGGCCGTCGTTGATGGTCCAGATGGGGCGGGGCGTTTCAATCCCATCGTCTCCGGGGGCGCGTCCTCCCCTCTTGCCCTGTGGCATGCTATAGGAAGGGCCCCACCTATGGCGAAGGGGGTCCTCGTCCCCGATGGCCAGATCATCCCACGGGATGGGCGGCATAGAGTCATCATCTTCCTCTTCTTCCGATGAACCTTGACGCCGCTTCCCTCATTGTAGCTTCGCTCACTGCTTCGACCGCCATTTGCTCTTCTCATCATCCTTTTTCTTCTTCCTTTGTTCATCCATAGCACGGTTCACCGCCCTCATAGTTGCATGCTCTGACAGCGGCGTGACAGAGTCCTAGAAGACCAACCCCGCTGGCAGCTCGATGAAGCCCACGTCCGGCCGCATCACACGATGCCCTAGGATCGAGAACACGGCGTCGGCCTCCCCCGTGGCCTCCTTGATGCGCTGTGTGACCTTGCTGTCATGGAGCAGCCCCTGGGCGAGTGTCGTCCCGATGAGTTATGCGCCGAGCGTCATCCCGTACAGCGGGAGGACACGCGACATCAGCAGCGCCACCCTCCTCGCATGATACCCCCCGATGACGCCGGCCTCGTAGAGGCCCTGTGTCTTCAGGAATGCGATGGCCTCGAGGAGGTCACACATCCTCTTCTTCTCCTTGATGGGTGGCCCCTATGGCCATGACGGCGGCACCTCTTTGACTAGGCGTCTGGAGAAGAGCGGCAAGGGAGCGGCAGGGTCATCCTTCAGGTAGAACCAATACGAGTGCCACCCCTCGTTGGATCTGGAGAGCTGACAGGGCATATACTCGGTCGCCCGCTGCTCCCTCAGAGGTGGATGCCCACGCATCCCATCAGCACTAGGGTCTCCCAGCCTCTGTCCTTCTTCTTGATCAAGGAGATGGAGAAGAAATATCTCCACAGCTCGAAGTGGGGCTCGATCCCCAAGTACCCCTCGCACATCACAATGAAGGCCACGATGTGCTGGATCCCATTGGGGTTCAAGTGTTGTAGCTCAATCCGATAGTGGTGCGGCAGACCTTGGAAGAACAGGTGGGAAGGAACCGTGAGTCCACGCTCATGGAAGGGTGCGAAGGAGATGACGTAGCCATCAGGGCGGCGCCGGTGCATCCTCACGGCCGGGCACGAGTCACTCCGCCGCATCGGTCCTCCCGCGGAGAAGACCACACTTGATGAGTCCCTCCATGCATGCATGGGTAACATCGGAGTGGTACCACAAATCCATGGAGGATGGAGGCGGTTGTGGAGAAGCAAAGGCGGCGACGGAGAAGCAGAAGCTACAGATCTAGGGCTCTGGCGGTGGATTAGCAAGCATGGCACATCCGAATGGCGGCAACAGAGAAATAGAGAAGGTAAGGCTATAGTTTTGGTGTGCAGAAACATGAAGGGGGAGGCCGTTATTTATAGGACGGAGCGGGATGAGAAGGCGAACCGTCCACCTAGATTCACGTGCCTGCTGCGCCGCGTCACATCACCCCCTCCGAAGATCGTGCGCACGCTATTTCTAGCCACGCTCTCAAAGGACACGCCGGATGACGGTTCGCTCGGTCGATGGGCCAAGAACCCTCATAGGTAAGGAGGGATACGGAGCTAAAAATGCTCCAACGGCCCATTTAGGCCTAGGAGTTCGAAGGCTGGCCCTCCGACGGGTTCACAGCCGCTCCGGGGCACCCTTAGAGTGAGGGGTGAAAAGGGATGGGCCCACTAGCGGCCAGTACTCGGGCACACAAGCGCCGCGGACATCCCGGCCCATGTTCGAGTCTTGGTCGGTTCTCAGTCCATGGGTTTTCTATGAAGAAAGGCAACAAGCCCTTGGGACCGGTCGAACGGACCCGAGAACTATATGGAATGGCCGAACAGAGTCTGGAGTTGGTCACCAGCTGGCCCATGATGGACCCCCACAAGCGAGAAGCCAAGGCCCCCTCGGACTAGCCCGTTAACAAGCTCACCGAGCACCATGTTTCGTCCATCGAGGAAAAATGTGTCACGGCTCAGCCCCTCCGTTTTATCGAAAAAAGCTTGAGGGATGACAATCGCAAAGATGAGCCGACCCTCGATCGGACCCCTACTACGTGGGGGGGCTCGAGGGAAGTTGAACTCGCAAGGAGACCGAATGCGCGGTCGTAGTACGACGGCGGACCGATCGGATCCTAGGGGACCAGAATCAAGAACAATCTTTCTGACCTCCTGAATCCTACGGTTGTATGCCCCCTAGAAGACCGATCATGACAAAAGGGAATCACCGTCCTACCAGGATACGTCGTGGGCTACAAAAAGAAGGCCAAGGCCCTCAGAGTCCTCCCGTCCGTAAAAGCCTCCAAAGAAGTATTCTACTCCTCCGCATGCTCGGAGGCTACTGTCGGGTATCGATAGTAGGGATACCCAAAGTAAGGAAGTTAGCGCCCACGCTGACTTTCCCGGATGGCTCGAGACGTATTAAAAGGTCTCGCCCGACCCCTTGGGTGCGGGTTCCGTCTCGCCCGACCCCCCGGCCACGGGCTCTGTCTCGCCCGGCCCCTTGGGTGCAGGCTCCGTCTCGCCCGACCCCAAGGACGTGGTTTCTGTTTCGCTCGACCTCGGACTCCGTCTCGCTCGACCCCAAGGCCGCGGGTTCCCTCTCGCCCAACCCCTTAGGTGCGGGCTTCATCTCGCCCAACCCCAAGGATGCAGTTTTCGTCTCACCCGACCTCAAGGCCGCGGGCTCCCTCTCGCCCGACCCCAGGGACACGGTTTCCATCTCGCCCGACCTCGGGCGCCATCTCGCCTGGCCTCAAGGACGGGGCTCCGTCTCGCCCAACCCCTTGGGTGCGGGCTCCGTATCGCCCGACCTCGAGGACGCGTGTTCCGTCTCGTCCAACGGAGACCCATATCGCCGCCAACCACTCCAGGTCCAAGCGTATGGGCCTAGGTCAAAACTCTAACGCCAGGGAAGAGGCTGGCACACCTCGATGTAACCTATGACCGTGACGGGCCATACCAGGGGATTCACGTCAAGAACTGAGGCATATTGGGATATGCAATAATGGGCTACTTCCGCTGCTCCCGCCTATGACTGCTTATGATTCTATTTTTTTTTAACCTTATCCCTCTAAATACACGCCACTGTTTTTTACCTGAAACACATGGCCATCATATGGCTGTGATGACACTTCTGTGTATCCATTGCTCAGCGATATGACCTGTTGTTCGATCACGTGTGAGATACTGGGCATCGCCTCTTACCTATATTATGCAAAATTTTCGGAAGTGACCCATTTGTCAGCATGCTTTGAAGCTCCAGGTTGACGAACAAATGATGGTTGACACATTACTGAGGCCTCTTAAGACGCGCTGGCAACTTTCTATATGCTCGAAGCCTCTTTGCTTATGATCTGGTGTTCTAACCATTTACCAACCCATGCCATGTGTTCCTATTCATTATGGTCTCATGGTCGGGCCATTTTCCGTTTGCCATTTTTTTTCCTTTTTTAGCCTGTGATGAAAATTTGACACCCGTTGCTCAACGCTACGATATGATGTTCATTCGTTTGTGAGGTACTGGGCATGCCTGCAATTTCTGAGAGTAACCCATTTATCAGCATGCCTTGAAGCTCCAAATTCGTGAACAAATGATGATTGACATATTACTAAGGTCTCCAAAAAGAGAGAATTCCTTATTTGACACTGGGAAAATGAGCCGTTCCTTTTTTGGCCCTGAAATTTTCTTCGTTCCTTATTTGACACTCACTTGAACTTTCATCCCTAATATGACACTACCGTCCGATCCGTTAGCTTCTTCCGTCAAAGAGCCTGGGACACGCTGTCAGATATTTTGATTATGTCAAAATTGCCCTCCGTCGACTCTCCCGTGCGTGCGGTTCCCAGTCCTCTCTCCCGTGCGTCTGTCCCAAGCTCGATCCGGCGGCGAGCGGCGAGATTCCTGGCGGTGGCCGGCCGTCGGCAGCGAGATGGAAGGAGATCCGGCGGGGGAGGATGTGGATCCGGCCGGTGGCTCCCTCGGGCGGGGCTTGGCGGCGGCGGCGAGGTCCCCGAGCGGCCTACAAGCAAGGCTTCTAATGAGCCTGCGCCACGATCATGAAGCTCCCCCGCGGGTTCTTGCGACAGTAACTACGACAAACCCCAATGGCCCATTGCAGCAGCGGCGGCCACGAGCTCCCAGCCGAGATTCTTGCGAGAGTACCGCCGCCATGAGCTCCCCCAATGGGTTACGTGGGGCGGCTGCGGCAAGCCCCCCCCAGCGGCGCACACAGGCAGCAGCGGCCACGAGCTCCCCTGGCCTGGTTGCAGATGCGGCGGCGAGCCCCCCTGGTGGTACTGTCTTTTGCACAAATTCTTCTTCTCATGCTGTGAGTTGGGGTGAGCTGATCTGGCGGACTCTTGTGTGCATGCCTCTGTTTACCTCTTCTCCTTGATTTGCACAATGCTTTATTAGTTTCAACATTGCTATTTTGCATTCGTTCAGCTCATGGGTTGTAGAATTACATTCCAAGTGGATCAATATCATTATCTCCTCTTGTGCTATAGGAAATATATATCCTTATCTGTCATGAGAGACGCTAGTGATGATCGCTTTTAGAACTCTGCAGATCGAGAATGGTGCCAGTGCGCGATCTCCCCCCTAAAAGAAACCGTCTCTCCTTTTTTTTTTTTGACTTAAAATCGAAATATGATCTGCATTTTCTTTTTGCAAATAGAACACATATATATTGTTGCCACTATCGAAATATGATCTGCATTTTCCTTTTGCAAATAGAACACATATATATTGTTGCCATTACGCTTGGCATCCAATGAGTTCAACATATTCTAGTACTTGATTTTTGCTTCACCACACCTTTTCTTTTGAAATGAATTTATGTCCAAAGTACCTATTTGCACACTGCTTTTTTCATTCTTGTGTGTGCACACTAGTAACGGTGCTTTTAGAACTCGAAAGTGCAGGAATGGTGCTAGCCGAGCAAGGTGGTCTTTCTTAAAATACAAAAAAGGTGTCCCATCTTTTGCAACTATGGATCTCTAAGAAATTGCCACTTAATATGCCTTTCCTTTTCATAGCTAGAACATATATATGTTGGAAAAATCATATGGCACCCAGGGGGGCTGTAAATTTGGCGCCCTCGTTAGCTAAAAGACTAGAATACCATGTTAGAATGTTTCAAAAGTCATCATAAAAATCATGTATATCAGTTAGCTTGCTGATTCGAAGAGTGGAATGCATTATATCACTGGATAGAATCTTTGCTTCTACCACAGAGTTTCTTTTTGAAACATAGAGTTTATGTCTCTATACTGCCATTATCATGTGTAAAGCAGGTACACATTTCCTCAACTGCCTTTAATTATCTTGCTTTGCAAATTCATTTGCTCTGATTCAGCTATTGTCACTTTGGTTGCCTGTGCAACTCATGTCATCTACATTCCTCTGTTGTTTTGTTGGTTCATTATTTATATTCTTTTGATAAAAAAATAAATATATTTCCGGCCAATTGATGGATGGATTATTCAATTCGTGATATCCGAAAGTCTGAGAACGTTGCTCGCCAGGCAAGGTGACCTTTTTTCTTAAAAGAAGGGTTATGTCTCTTATTTTTTGCAACCAAGGATCTCTAAGACGTCGACACGTAATCTGCCTTTTATTTTTTGCAACTAAAACATACAGATATTTTCACCACTGCTGGCTTCTTTGATCGATCATAGAATGTATTCTTGTATTTGAATCTTTGATTCTACCCTTGAGTTTCTTTTGAAACGCAGAGTGTGTTTGTCTGAATACTGTCATTTTCTTGTGTTAAGTCCCATTTGCTCAAACTGGCCTTCATTCTAGTGCTTTGCAAACTCACCGACTAGTGATTTAGCTATTGTCACACAAGTGCTTGGTTGCCCCGTGCAACTCCTGTCATCTACATTCTTGTGTTTGAAATATTGTTCTACTTATCTGTCATGAGAGAAACGCTAGTGATGACTGCTTTTAGAACTCTGAAGTCTGAGAACACATATATATTGTTGCCACTCTGGCTTGCTGAACACAGAATTTATGTCTGAAGTACGTACCTATTTGCACGCTGCTTTTCATTCTTGTGTTTTCCACACTAGTAATGAGTGCTTTTAGAATTCTGAAAGTCTGAGAATGGTGCTAGCCAGGCAAGGTGGTCTTTCTTAAAATAAAAAAAGGTGTCCCATTTTTTGCAACTAAGGATCTCTAAGAAATTGCCACGTAATTTGCCTTTCCTTTTTCACAGCTAGAACATATACATGTTGTCAGTTAGCTTTCTGATCCGAAGAGTGAAATGTATTCTATTACTAGATAGAATCTTTGCTTCTACCCTAGAGTTACCGGCCGCAGATACAAATGAACTAATTTGATTACATTTGCGTTACCGGCTGCATATATAAGCACATGATTAGGCATTCATATTATACGTATTTGTGCTGTGCTGAGCACAAAGCAAAATGAACTTGAAGCTTCATTGACTTGTATTCAAAATCCAGGCAGCACGCTCGGGCGGGATTTAGGGGGCCATGGAGGGTCTGATAATGCTGGCACAAAGCCAGACTGGCTCCTTGAAGGGTGAGTGCTAGCCTTCGATTCATCTAAGCAGTGCAAAAGTGATGTGTAAGTAGCAGTGTTGATTCCTTAGATTGTTCTTTTCATTTGCAGGATGGATCCAAATTCAACATATTTGCTAGAAATTAGACTGTTTGGCAACAAAAAGAAAGTTAGAAAGGATTTTAGGTGTTTCTGTTTTGATATGACTATTGATTCAGATTTGACAAACTATAAGGATTTACTTGAAGAGATTGTAGAGAAGTACCCGCCAGGTTATTTGGAAGTAGCTCATCTTCAATTATTATGACCATGATATGAAAGAATTCCACAAGTTCATTCGACCAAGATTTGTTGTCTATGTTTGAGAAAATTCAAAGACAAAGGTTGTCGACATGTTCATTTCTTCTTGTGATCCCTCTGAACCATTTGAGCCCATTAAAGAGTGGCATAGTGATGTGCAAAAGCGTGTTGCATGACCAAGAATGTTGCGAGAAGATGAGGATAGGTACCTTTGCAACCCAGTACCAGAGAATGAGCATGTAGGTGTTGATGATGAGGTCATGTACTTAGAGAAGATACCTTGTGAAGATAGAAATATGGCTATGATTGTGCATAAGGATCAGGACAAAGAAAATGTTGAGAGTGAGGATGAGGATGAGGATGAGGATGAGGATGAGAATGAGGATGAGGATGAGGATGAGGATGAATTGGAGATTGAGTCAGGGACTGAATTAGAGGATGACCAAGAGTTGGTAGGACATGAGGCAGAACATATTCCAAACAGGGAATATAATAAAGAAGACCCTCCAATGGTAGTTGGCTCAACATATCCTAGCATGGCAGAGTTTAAGATTGCATTATCTCAGCATGCAATCAAACGTGAATTTGAGTATAACACAGAGAAGAGTGCACCATCTAGATTCAGGGCCTATTGTTCAAGGCGGGAGGAAGATAATTGCCCATGGAGACTACATGCTTCTACAACAGATGATATGTGCACTGTAGTGGTAATTATTCAGCATAAATAATTTTTGTTTTTTTTCTAAATATTTATTCTGTTATGTTGGTGTAGCTTAATAGGGATGCTAATCTTTTGTAGGTGAAGAAGAACCCATATGCTCATCAGTGCTCTAGTACAAGGAGGAAGAAGAAGGTCAAGAATGCCACCAAGCATTGGGTATGTGCTAAAGTTAAGGATCTGCTCATTGAGGATGGATCACTTGGTGCAATGGAGTTGAAAAAAGAAGCTTAAAGAACACTACAAGGTGAGTGTCCACTACAAGAGGGTGTGGATGGGTAAAGAGCTAGCATTAAGGCGTATTTATGGTGACTGGACAACAGCTTTGACAATTTGTATAGGTTTAAGGCACAAGTTGAGAGCACTTGCCTTACGATAGAGCGTAGTAGTGATAGATCATCACACAATAAATGGGAAGATCAGATTTAAAAGTTTTTTCTTTGCCTTGAAACCATGCATTGATGGGTTCATAAGTGGTTGTAGGCCATACTTAGCAATAGATAACACTTTCCTAACGAGCAAGTTTAAGCGCGATTAGCTAGTGCTTCAGCTGTTGATGGCCACAATTGGTTATTTCCTGTTTGCTTTGGAGTTTTGATTCTCAAACAAATGATAATTGGAAATGGTTCATGGAGAGAGTTAGAGAG